CAAAGCCTGGAAAGGCCACCCCACAGCCTGGGTGACCAGAGCTCGCTCGTGTTCCAGGCCAACCTCCCGCTGCTGCAGAGAGAGCTGCTGCACTGTGCCCGGGCTGCCAAGCAGACACCCTCCCAGTACCTGGCACAGCACGAGCACATCCTGCTGAACACAAACACCACGTCACCCTCGGACTCCTCCGAGCTGCTGATCGAGGTGAATGGCAATGGGAAGAGGCACAGTCCAGACAGGTAAAACCAGCTGTTGTCACTCTGCCGAGTTCTTGGAGTCGTGACTTTCATTTCAGCTTTGCTGCTGTCAAAGCTTCAAGCAGAATCCAGGGCTAAACCATAGGATCTTATTGCTCCCAACAACTGTTCTGGCCGTTAAGACCCCAGTGGTTGCTTCTTTTGCACTGTGAATTCAGATGGGGACTCTCTTTCAGGCAGACTCTGTCCTAGAGGGTTGTGTTGGGTGGCAGTGAGAAGCCTGAGCTGGAGAGCTGAGCATTTCTCCACCTCCCTGGGCAGCGAGCGGAGGCTCTGTCAGGGCTGTGAAGTATGTGGTTCAGTTTCACCACTTTTTATTCCAAGTTAAAAGTTACATAATTATGTGGAGCATGCCTCAAATCTATAAAAACTGTGAAATGTTAATTTGGTCATGCTCAGAAAGATGAATCATAACACACTTTTTTCTTGAACTTTTGCTTTAACAGGGTCATTTTGTGGGTTTGTTCAAAAGTAGAGTGTATTTGGGGGTTGGACTAGATGACCCTTTAAAGGTCCCTCCTGACCTGAAGCATTTCAGGATTCTATGATTCTATGCTTGGGTTTAGGTCCCTGCTGTTATTCCCCAGTAAAAACATTGCAGATTTCAACTCAGCAAAGTCTGGGCAGCATCTTTCTCCTTCCGAATCCATCTGCACGGTGCTAATGAACACCTCTCTGCCCCTCCCCTGGCTGCAGGAGGGAAGACAGCAGCTTTGAGAGGGAGCCTCTGCCGACGGAGCCTCCAGCCAAGAGGGTCTGCACCATCAGCCCTGCGCCCAGGCACAGCCCTGCCCTGACCATGCCCCTGATGAACCCCGCCGGGCAGTTCCATCCCACCCCACCACCCCTCCAGCACTACACCTTGGAGGATATCGCCACCTCCCACCTCTACAGGGACTCAAGCAAGATGCTGGAGCACAGGGAGATTCGGGACAGGCACGGTGCTCTTGGTGAGAAAGCTTGGAGGGTTTTTAGCTGTAGGAGCTGTAAGGTCCAGCAGTTGAACTTTGGCATTGGTTCCTGCCTGACTGCTGGCACCCGAAGCCGTGTAATGCTGGGCACACCCTCAGTGGAGTTTTTGCAAGGAATTCAGAGTAAACAACTGACCATGGGAGGTTAAAAATTGGAAGACTGAGTTTCTATTTCCCTATAAAGGAAAAAAGGCTGGAGCCACTGAGGATGAGGAGGAAGGGACCCTGTGTGTGTGTTGTGTAGCCGACCCGTTGGGCAAGAACAGAGGGCAAGGAGGCAGGAGTTACCCTTTTCCAGACCACTAATGCAGGAGACCAGCACCTGACCCTCTGCCCCATTTCTCCTCAGGGCTGAGTGGGAGGTACACACTGAGTTTCCAACAGGGCAACATGCATCACAAACTCTGAGCTCCTGTGGGCTTATAGTAAGGGAGAGAGCTCCCCAAGCAGGTCAGATCCAGACCTGTGAGTGACTGTAGCACTTCCAAAACAGTGACACAGGCAAGGATAAAAGCACCAGCATGGAATTGGCCCTGTAGAGCCACCTCCTTGAGATGTGTTTGAAAATCTCATCTATATGTAGCTGGAAAACAGGTCTATTATTGCTTCAGGGCCACCTTCCCCTTCCAGCACAGAAAGCACTTGGTCCATCTGGTGACTTCTGGCTGTGGTGTGTTGCAGGTTTGAACGGAGGATACCAGGAGGAGCTGGTGGATCACCGCTTAACGGAGAGGGAGTGGGCCGACGAGTGGAAGCATCTCGATCACGTAAGGAACGGCAGGAGGCGTGGGAGGCTCTGTGGGATGCAGCAACCCAGAGTTCCACCTGCTCCAGTTTGTGGTTTTTCTTGTTGTTGATACCACATCCAGGCTTTCCTAGAGGTTTGTGGAGGAACAAGCCACCACAAGAAGGTGGATGGTGGGGAGGGTAGACAGGAGCAGTAGTGATGTCCTGGCAGGTTTTCTTTGCCTGTGATCCGTGGAAGACAAAATCACTCTGGACAAAGTGTATGGAGCTGGGGAGGTTCTGCTGCAGAGCATGGCCATGTGCTGCCTGGGCTGACTGAGCAACCCAACCCAACCTTGGCCCAACATGGGCCTTTTTTTCCCAAGCCCTGGCCAGCATGGGACCAGCAAGTGTGTAGATATGCTCTGGGCAGTGAGGGTATGGAACTTATGGAATAAGTTAATCCATTGTTATTTTTCTAAAGACTTTTTTTCCTGAGGTGCTAGCATTTTATTGGCCTCCACGGGGCACTGACAGCAAGACTTGGGACCTCTGGCAGACTTTTTGTGGTCAGCCTTTTCCCCTTGAGTGAGGTTACTCATCTGAGCACTTCACTGGAGGATATCCCCCGAAGAGATGGGGCTGAAACTCAGCCTTGATCACAAATGCAGAGACCCCATGCTTGGCCATGCTCTGAAGCTGATGGTTGGGTTTTTCATGGGAGGATGAGGAGTGGAGGGTGCTGTGGCTGACTGAGTTGAGGTGTGGCTGTGGAGAGCTGGCACCAGGATCACAGCCAACCCCTGCATGGGCCCCCTGTTCCTATAGGGAAGTGGTGGGTTTTTTGCTCCTCCACCTTCGGGAGGTGGCCTGAAGGTGTTCAGCCACCTGCTGTGGTGAGCAGGACCTTCTGGTGGAGGCGTGACCCCGTCCCAGTGCTCAGCACCACCCCTGCGGGCGTGGCCCCGGTTACCCGCCGGTTTGGGCACCGCCTCACCCCAAACACCCCTCCTGGAGCCCGCTCCTGTGGC